GGGGGGGGGGGGTGTAAATGTCTGCGGTGGCATCGGTATATTGCAAATAAGTTACGCGAGACGGCGGCCCACCCTCAGAATGGGCTGGCGGCGTAGGGTCACCCAACCCAACGCCCTCGGCCTTCTGCGGTGTAAGATCAATTGACGCAAGCGGAATCTGCACAAGTGGGGTAGTCGCCACTCCAAGCACGTCACTAGACTCCAACTCGGCGCACCCGGTCAGCGGGATGTGTTGAGGCCCGTCCGATAACCACTGACACCCACCCCCTCCGTGAACGATGAGTGAGTGGGCCGCTGCTGGCGTCTGGCGCGAGAGCGTTTCAGTTGCGAATTTGTGCTATTGTCGTTGCCCGTAGTCTTTACCTCGAAACGTCGTCGGGGCTGTTCATGATTATGGTTGGTGTTAAATGGTGATTGCATATTTAGAAACAATAGCGGTCGCGATGGCGTGGCCGATTCAGTGGATGCTACATACTCGGTGAATGCTTGCGCCGGGTGGAGTTTTGGTGGGGAAGGTGCACTGTAGGCCGATGATTGTGAGAAAGATGAAACCTCGCTTCTCCAGCAACGGCCCCCTTGTTTTCCGCTTTAGGAGATTGATCCGCGGACGTTCCAGCATTTATGATCCAAGGTGTTGTTTGGTTGTCACTAAGTTACGCACCCAGTGCGGGTCCGTTTTTGAACGGAAGGGTCTGTTTGCGTTTAATTAAGACGGCGCAGGGACGAGGAGAGCCGAGGGGGGGTGTACAGCAAAGGGGGTGTCATTCACGTGTACTTTTCCATCTCACGCGGGATCACTGCTGCTGTGGTTGGGCATCGCGTGTCGCACGGGAGCGATGGGCTCTACAATTGCTGTATTCCACGTAACATTGATTATTTTCTTATTTCCCGACATGTGTCGCGCCAGCGACGTCTAATATTGTTGTTTAACTGGGACCTGTTTATATATTATACTCCAGTATGTGTTTTTTTTTTCTTGTTTTTGTTTTACGGCAGTACGTCGCATAGACTACAAGTACAAGCAGTCGTACTATCATGGAACACATTGACTCTAGACTATTGGTTTTAGCGTGGGGTCTAACCTGAGCACCTGTTCTGATGGGTGGTCTGAGATGTAGTTCTTCTGGGAGCCCGAATGAAAAATAAGACACATGATGTGTTTACATCGATAAATAGAAATAGTTATGGGTTTTGACTACAGTAAAGTGGTAATTTTCAAGGACCCGATTTTGGCTGTCCCTCCATAACTTTTGACTGAGAGCGAGTAAAAGAAAAAGAAAAACAGCTTCGGACCGCCCGCGGCAAGGCGCAAAAGAGTAGCGAGTCGCCAAAAAAAAAAGAAAAAGAAAGAGAAAAAAAAAAAAAAGATGCTCGCGGCGGGCTCGAAACCCACGAAATTGACCCTAGAGCAACTTTTCCCCCATATATGTTGCTAATCCTTTTTTTTTTTTCGCACCAAACCACCCACACGTGCACAGGAACGCCCTCAAACACTATGCAAATGCCTCTACCGCACCTATAGCGTACATACATCACAAAAATTGGCCGTTTTCAACAAAAATGTTCCATTTTTGTACAACATTCCCACCAGAAACACGGAAAAAAACTGAACAAATACAGCTCAATGAACAAGAATGCGCCATCGACTCTACGGCCTCCATTCCTTCGGGGTCGGGCGCCTGTGCGACTTGTACTTCTTGTACGTCTTCTTGCCCTCAGGCCCTTGCACACGCGTCTCGCGGTACATGACGGCGTGTGTGTACGCCTTCTTGCAGTAGCCCTGGACTACCGAAACAGCCTGTCTATCCTTCTCTGGTCTAAAACTCAGCGGCACGTTCTTGCGCAAGCATTCCAACGAATATTTGCAATTCTTTCGAGTCCAGTCCTTCGCTCGGCCCCAAACAAGCTCGATGGGGTTACACTCGCAGTGGTACTTGGAAGCATGAGACAGGCCCCCCCGTGGCGCTGCATCAACAGCACCAGACTAGAATCAACTTCCTTGAAGTCCTTCTGCTCTCCCAAAACGTGCTCCATGCTCTTGCTGAGGTCCTGCTTTTCGCCCGAGCCCCCCGTCTTACTCATGCCTTTGACCAGGAGCCCCCTCTCCCACAAAATCTGCCGCATTCCTTTCAACTTTCCGACATATTGCGCCGGCTTGAGATGCGGGGAGTGGAAGGGGGGATCGTCCCCCCTCCGAAACACCAAGTGCTGTACCGTGCCGGCTGGGAGGTTCGGGGTATCTTCGAGGATGGTCACGGGGTCCATCGGCGCAAGCTCTTCTCCGTTCCTCACACCACCGACACCCAAGTTCATTCTCTTCACCGACGGTGCGCCGACCTCCATGCAGTCATGACAGGACGACCAGTCGAACAGGCCTACAGGCTTGTGCTCAGGGTAGAGAACTGTGAACATGTCGAGCACGTCTGACATGTGGTCCAGCATCCTGAGCCCGGTCCAGTATCCCTCCTTGTTCTTGCCGTACTCGAAGAGGTGGTAGGACCAGTACTGTCCATGCTCGTCTTCATGAAGCATGTCGATGGGGCGGAACTTCTCCACCTTCACGTTTTCCCCCCGTCGCTTCGCGGCAGCTGAGGCGGCGCATCGTTTCCTGCGGTTGCGCTCCGCGTCCTGGATCTGTGCCCGCGACGCCGAGAAGAAGCCAACGTTGTGGATTATCGTCCCCGACACCATGATCCCCTGGCCTTGTGACTTCTTCACGGGCACATGCTGGCCGTCCCGATACCACGCGCGCCTCTGGTCGTCGTTGGCTGCAAATACAAACAAGAAACCGACAATTTAGGGGCGGCAGATGTGGCGCTGTCAACATGTGTGATTAAATTTAAAGTCCCACAATTGAATTGCGAGCAAGATTACTGTTCGCGCCCGGAATTTACACCTAAATTATCGAACCCGCTTTGCTCCGTTTAAAACTAACCTCGAAATATGCTCTCGTCCTGGTAGAGAAGCATGGCCCGCCTCCCGTCAGGGTAGGTTTTCTTGCTCTGCACTCTGGCTTGCAGGTCTTCGGGCAAGTCTGCCAGCGCAGACTCGAGATTATCGACACAAACGCAAACACCACCATCCGGCAAGCGCTCGGTCTCCTCCACCGTCTCGACGTCAACACCCCAGACGATCGCTTCATCCTTGCCCATCGGAATCCATACCTCCATGTAGTCGCGGGTGTCGAACAGCGCCGGGAGGAACTCGTCGTGCCGGTATTCAAGGGTCTTCTTGTCGTCGTGGCCATCGAAGTACAGCCCCTTTTTGCCGTCGTGGTATTCGCATCCCATCTTCTTCAGCCACTCCGTTGCCGTAGAAAGGGAGATTTGGCGCTTTGGCGGCTCGTTCTCCTTCACTTCCACCAGCTTTACTCTCAATCCATGGAAAGCGTTGATGCCGTCCTTTTCCTGCTCCTCCAGCATCGGCATGATGGTGCTGTTCACCCACTTGCGGAAATCCTCCGCCGTTTTATTGGCTTGCCCACTGAGTATCCCGCAGTTCTCGAGCACCCAGCCTTTCGCGAGCTTGAAGACGCCTTCGTCGAGCTCCAGCAAAAACCTGCGCTTGAAGCGACCTGTGTCAGGTTTATGCGTCCGTGGGCGACNTCCGTGGGCGATGAAATCCCGCTCCCACTGCTGTACTGTTTGAACGGTTCTCCGTCCAACCTCTGCTGCGATGGCCAGTGCATCCTTCCGGTCGAAGCCGTCGGCCTGCTGGGTGTACAACTGGATCAATGTCATGGCCACTTGCACCGTGTGCGCCAGCTGAAAGTTGGACAAACAGCTGTCTTCCGTACTTGTATCCTGCGCGAAGGGGGAGTGTCGAGGGTGGCAATAAACCTTTAACTTCAGTGGCCAATTTGTTTGACAGCAGTATTTCAAGTGTAATTTTTCAAGGTTGAGTGCAGGCAAATTAATTTGCAGAGCGAGTGCGAAGTACGTGCAGGTTGGTCAAACTCCGACGGCGGAGGTTGCAGATTGGTGCCGCCCGAGAAACCCCGCCACGATAAATTAATAATAATGTCGTGAGATGAATTTACAGCAGTGTAGAATATTACAGACCTCAGAGCCCCCAGGTTCGAGCACGGCATGCGTGAAGAAAAAAGAGGATCACACATAATTTAGACTGTGTAGACTCCTGCCCTCACATCGTTCATCTCCGCGGCTGCGCTGATCGTCTTCACCACATCACTCACAACGCCGTCGAGTAGCTCGATGCTCTCAGCGCGAAACTCGTCCGCCGCTGCCGCCAGCACCCGAGCTTTCATCTCCGCCCCTTTCGCACGCCTAATCTTCTTTGCAGCTTGAGATGTGCTGTACGTGCCCTTGTTCAGGTATCTCCTCTTCGCCTCTTCGGCCCACTCGGGTTCGAACTCTATCCACGCCCGCACGACTTCTTCCAGACTGCTTGCAGAGAGGTTGAATGCCCCAGGAAGGGCCTCCTCTAGTTCCTGCCGAAGTGTCAACGCACGCATCCGCCGAGCCGCCCTCCCCATTTTTCCAAAGGGCCGCCCACTGTAGTCCCGTTGTCCACCCCAATTTGGATCTCGCGATCTTTGCGCGCCTGCGAGACCGGGTTCTTGTAGTGAACCAACGGCTGGCGCTGCGGCTCGAACTGCGGGTGCTGTTGAATCCCGCGGTGGTGCTCCCTGCCCCGGCGGCTGTGTGCGACGCGGCCCAAGCGGTGGTTCGGCCGCGATTTTTTTTTTATTTTTCTTAACCCTTTTGTGACGGAGCTACCCGCCGGCTCTTCCGGGGGTCATTCCGACCCTTCGGCCCCAACAGCCCGAAATTTCAACCAAGAACGCAAAAGAAAGACGCCAGAATAGGAGACATCCTCGAGCGCGACGGGCCCTACTTTCCACACATGTCTGCGCACAACTGCGTGACATTGCGCGCAGAGCATAGCCAACACACACAGCAGGACACGCGCGGTGTTCGCCGGGGCTGTTGCACAAGAGGATAACACACACAGATGATCAAACTGCTGTCTCCCTGCAAGCAACCATATATATGACATGTTGTTGTACCTGGTACTGGAGAAAAAGACAGCGTGCTGCTGTCACCAGGAAGACTCGCAGCGCACGCGCTCTCTCCCCTCTCTCTCCGTACTTCGAAGGCAAGCACCCTACCTCATTGCAGTGCTCTGTGTGGCTGATGTCAATGCCCACCCAAAGCTGGAAAGGAAAACAACACCGAACACGGAGACATGGCACTGAGTGAAGCAGATGAGATATGGGTACCAAAAAAAACATGCTGCTGCTGCTGCTGCTTGCTGCTGCAAAGCAAGCTCTCAGCAGCACTCGCTCCTCTCTCTCTCTCTCTCTCTCTCTCTCTCTCTCTCTCTCTCGCTCTATCTTTCTCCGCACTTCGAAGGCGTACAACATCACAGCAGTGCCCTGTGTGGCTGATCTGAATGCCCACCCAAAGCTCGAAAGACACAGGGAACAAAAACCTTAGCTGATTGATGAAAAATCAAATGCGAGCGGGAAATACCGCACGCTGGGGCTGCAGGCACACAGCTCTAGGCAGCACAGCCGGCGACCTCTGTCACCGTGCTAGGGTTAGAAATGAGCATGGTTGATACTGCTGGTGTCGTTATATCCCTTGACGGCGTCCAACTTTGGCAACGTGCGTCCGTAAAAGGCGGCGGGAGGTCCGCGTGCACACGAAGGATTTGAGTGTAGAAACAAAGGACGGGTTTTCTACAATTGTCTTGAAAATGTATACCACCATCGACTAGGAAAATGTATAGCTGGACTGGGTGACGGTAACAGTGCTGGTTATACATGTATCGGCGAAAAAATCACATGATACTGTATCACCAAATGCGTCTTGTTTATAGTATAGGACGGCTATTCTGGGCTTGATTTCTCAGGACTTACAGGTCGTGCCGCACACTCGCCCACTTGCGCGCGGAAGCCCAGCATGGACGAACAAGAGACAGAGATAGGAGAGTACTGGCAGCATGCAGCGGCCGCCTGCCACCCGGAAGACAACCCACACATCGTTTGGGATGTGTTGGTAACGATATCTGAACAAACTCATGATCGTTTCCGGGAGGCAGTTGAAGCAGCGGCATCGGCCGTAGCTGCGCGCTATTGTCACCACGCGCACGCCCCCAGTGCGCTCCCGGACTTACGCAAACTCGCGGAGAGGCAAGCTGCCGCACGGCAACACGCCGGACTATGTGGGAAATACCAAGCGGAACGCATCGCCGGCGTCGATGTCGCCACCATGCAGGAGAGGGCCGGCGGCGCTGAACTCACGACCAAAAGGGCGAGGAACCAGGTAAGAGACGAGGAACATATAGTACATATGTATAGAGTACTATGTAGTGGTCTTAGGGATGGTCAATCTGTATACAGCAGTAGAGTGTAGGCCGTGCTATGTATGTACCTCGACGTAGTCTGTAGTATTCGACATACGTAGTAGAGACTATGCGTATAATTGTATACTACTGCGGACATATCTTGAGACGACGGCTCAAGGAAGGTCGTAGTACATATATTACATGTAGTGCGAAACTCTGTG